TGTCACGGTGTAGGCACCGTTCTGAATGTACCAGGGTTGAAAATGAAAACTAGTTACCCCAACAAGTTGTGTAACATTTCACCTGTTAAGCCCAACCCATGCACAGGTGTAAAAATGTACAAACCTTGAACTACATACACAGATGCATGTTAATGTACCAAAGCAGCCATTTCTCAAAGCAGAAGGTCTGATTTCCAACATCTGAAAAACCAATTGTTCCTTCACTCGCTGTCACACACGGGATTCCGTTTCACCATTTCTAACCACATCACACACGCAGTATATATTGGGTTTCTTTTTAACCATGCACTGATTTCTTCCAAAGAAAAATCACACACAAGAATTTACATACATGTCACCACAAAATAACCTCATTTCAACGATTAACAAACTTCAGTTGGTAGTTGTTTTTTTTTAAATTCAAGTCAGCAATGACCCTTGTTTGTACTTTTAAGAGCCCCTCACAAACATCCCAAGGCATGGGTTTACCACAGCGTGTGTTACAGTTAATAATTAATGTTGACACAATCGTGTGTGCTTAGTCAATATTACTGACACAATATTTTAATATTCAATCCAGATTACAATGTAGGCCTACATGTATGCCAGACTTCGGCCAATCAGCTACTGCACAGCATGTAGGCATATGCAGATGAGTACAGGTACAAGACGCAGACCACAAAAACAGCAAACACACCCTGGCACCGAGATGTTACCTTTAACATTTACTGGAAATTTGTTTATCCTTGCACACACAAGAGTGTGTAAAATGCGTCTGCCCCATCCAATTTATAATATTACAGGTTAATTACAACTACTTCCAAATGTCCTTTTTACACATGAAAATCTTTCGTTTAACAGCAACGCTGTGATGTCCCTCCGGGCAGATGGGTCACAGGTGCGCTATTTCAATCACTTAGACCCAAACTTTTCTGGGGCAAACGAGTGTCGGGAAAGGACCATTGAAGATTTTTTCTTCCTCCCGGAGGGATTAAGGCTCGGGTCAATGCTTATCGATGCACATGGTGTTGGTGAGACTATCCTGTGGATTCACACCATCGGGATCCATTCAAGTTCCGGAGAGAATGTTTACGTGCACTAAGGCATTCCACTGACAGACAGAACTTGTTTCACTTTTGTCGCAGTCACAATATCAAACATTGTCAAAGCCACTGCTTTGTATATTTGCATTGTGTCGAGCACAAAACGTGAATCATTAAAAAAATAAACATAATCTCCAAGACTATTTTTTTACACGTAGTTGGCCCTACAATGTACAGTACCAGCAAATGTCCAACAAATGACAACCTCAACTACATGTACATGTATAACAAATAATAAAAATTGTGCCATTTTAGAATACATGTACCCTACAAATGTGTCGTTGAAGCCTTCGAAACATCAAATTGTGCACATGCAGCTGCGGGATACACACACAGTCCTCAAACCTCCAATTTCAATATAATTTTACATACGCTGTTACACTCCAGGGACCTAGGGGAACAGCATAGGGTACAAGCTGCGTTAGTTAACCCTAACAGTACCGGGCATTGTTGGGCTAAGAACACCCAGTACTACATAATACTAAGTAACACTCTCAGCCTGAAGGACCTAACGCTACAAATTACTACTTCTGGCTAGGTTTATTCCGTTGTTACTCGTACAGAGAGCAATGAAACCATGCATTCATAGTGCCACAGCATTGTATGGTACATTGTCTTCTCTATTGTATTTTATGGCTTCAGAGAATAATAATGTCATGTCCTCTTACACAGGACAGGGCTGAGTACTACATTTTACTACTAAGTAGTACTTTGTAGCATTCGGGACTGATAGGGTTAAAGCACTGTACAGATGTCATGAGCAAATTTATACATGCAGGTTTGATCCATCCTTCTTTCAACGAGCAGGGGCTACATGTAAAAAGCAAACCAACAACAGTACACACATTATTATTGGTACTATGCAGAGGACGGATGAACTCACTGAGCTGCCTCTGCTGGCAAAACCACAATCACTCTTCCACTGTGCATTATTGTCTGGCCTTGGGTGTTAAACACAGTGGAAAATGACAAAACATGACCTCATCATTATGAATAATGCAGAAGAAGGAACACTTACAAAAGTACACATATGCAACGCCATGGCTGCAATAATGCACAGAAATACTACCTGTATATAGCTAGGACTGCACACACCTTATCCGATCGGGACGGAGGCAAACTAACTAACCTATTAATCCACCTGCTTTCCTTAAATTTAAAACCAATTTTAAGGGTAATGAGTTTGAGGGAGAATCCTCATCCATTCTTTTCTGATTATGGTTTTTAATTTCCTGGTCTGGGCTTCTCATCAGACATGCGTCACTGTCCCATGCCGACAATCTGGGAGCTATCGATGCCGGATCGGGTGGCAGTTTCAGGTTGCCACAATTGTCGGCAAACAGTTCATTTCATCCAAAGACAAAAAAAAATATTAACAAATTTTTAAACAGCAGAATTTCTCTTCACCGCAAACGTCTGTGACAGAAATTCCAATAAAACCAAAGCATGATATCCTCTAAATTGTTTCACTTTGTATAAATCAGGTTACTTCTGTGTGCGACAGCGAGCAATATGGATTTACGGGAACAAGTATTTCTCAGACAGTAATTTCAAAATGATATTCCCTGGGCTTGATCTGGGATTGTAATAGCTGCCGTCCTTTCCCTGCAAAGTGTGAAAACTACATGTACATGTACATGTTCACTCCAAATGTAATTTTAAAAAGTCAGAGATGATATAGCCCCTGGAACCCACTTTTTATTACCAGTGTTTTGGAAGGAAATGCGAAGATTTCAGTCACAGGTGCAAAACAATTTATGCTCATGTACACGTGCGTGTACCCAAAAAAATTGGGGATTGTGAATTTGCTGCAAGCAAAAACTGCCTGTCCAAAATTTTTCCTAAGATTAGAATTTGCATATCATCAGGTAAACTATGAGTTAACCTCGGTCCACTGTTACATGCACATGTACGTACATGTAATTTGACACCAAACAACAAAATTCCCTTGACATGCAGAACAAAAGCATTTTCCAAAAAGGAAAGCTTTCCACACATGGGCTTCACTTGACACCCTGTGTGACCAGTCTGCAGAAATTCGGGTTAAATATTTTCCCTGCTAAATTTGACTTTTTAGGAAATGTTTTCGATTTCTGGTGGCTGATAATCCATCCCCAGGGTAAAATGTCCGTTTGAGGAACTCTTTCCAAAAGAAATCCAAGTTTTAGCCCCGTTTCAAAGTACATACATGTACCCGTATACATTGTACATATAGGCTTTCCCCCACTCAGTCGTCATGGGAAGTTTCCTGGAATGAATACACCACAGATTTCCTGAATTGCTCAATAACTTCCTCTCAGCTGTCAATTACAATATCGCAAGTATCAAGTGAGCAAAGAGTCAGAAACTAAGCGGGCAAAATGCAGAAGTGGAAACAAGGATATTCATATCAACAGACTTCAAAGGTAAACAGTAACTGATACATTTCAGGAACTAAAATATCATTTTGAAAATTTTCTGAATCATGTCAAGTGGTCAATGGATTATTAAAAGTGGGTGGTTATAGGAACCTTTTTTGTAGTTTTCAAGAATGTGACCTCAAGGATCACCCAAGGGAAATAACACAATTATTTGGCTAGTAATTTTTTGTTTGTGTGACTGGAATTCCCCATACACGTAGTTTGTAACTCCTTGGAAAATTTGTTACCAATCATGGGTGTTGGCAGAATTTTTTTCACAGTGGGAAAAAGTCCCCCCCCCCGGACCATCCCTGTGATGTCCATTTCTCCGATATTAAAAAATTCTGATCAACTCAAAAAAAAATCATGAAATGCAAGGTCCCTTGTGCATACGTCACTCCACATTTTTAGAAACAATATACCTTATGAAATACAACTTTGTGGCAAACTGAAATTTGTATCAGCATAGCTGGACTGAAAATGGAAAGAGTTCCATATATGGACGCCACTTGACACCCCGTGCACAAACCCTATGAAACTGGTCTAAGGAAATGACTTGTTTTTTTCCCTCCTAAATGGAACTTTTCTGGACATGTTTTTGCTTTCTGACGGCTAATAGGCCACTATAGGGAGTAGTTACCAGCGTCCGTATATAGAACTCTTCCCCAGAAAATAAACGTTTGCGCAAGACAAGAATTCCCAATTAAAAAAGATACTATTTTCATTAGTCACTGCAATGAGGGAAATAATTAACCTTGCCCTAAGCACAAATCAAACGCTCCAATGCAACCTGTGACATCAGGCATTCAAACACTTTGACTCACCGCTAAACAATGTGCACAGCCGGCCCCCCCAAATCATTCACAAAACCACCTGACCGACCGACCAGCCGACCCAAGCTTGAATGCGACATCACTCACAAATGACAAGCAAAAGTGGGATGGGCATTAAAGACATCTTAAAAAATTACAATAACATGAAACAACTTTTACAAATCATCAGGAAGGACACTGAGAAATCATCGGTCATTTCATATAATTCATGCTGTTTTATAGTGAGGAAAGACAGCCAGAAAAAACGACTCGAAGGCACAGCAGTTTCTTTTTTTGGCTTTGCGTACCAACTGTTTCATTCAAGCAGACGAAAAGAATCATTTCACACAACTGTTGCTTTGACACACTTATTTCTAATCTCATGCAAGAAGAGCCGAAACAACCACGAAATCTATACCTAATGTTCAAATATCAAATTTAACGGGGAAAATTCTAAGTAAACAGGGCTGGCAAACTTGTATTTTCACCGTGGAAAAATGGCCGTTAAAAGTAGCCACTCAATCATGCCCATCGCCATGATCGCAAAACATCGCACTGCCGTTACACCTTTTGAAATATCTCATTTTCTCGTCAAAGGAAATCCGCCAATAATATCACTACTTGAGAAGATTCCACAATATGACCTCCATTATCTGTTAAAGACATGATATTAGAAAGACACTCACCGGGATGATGGCAATTCCAGAGGAAAGTTCGGGCAGTTTGGCAGGCAATTTAAGTCCAACCGCTGTAACCCGCGTACGTACGTCCCGGATGATATCCGTACGTTTTATGACCACTGCGCACACTCAAAAGAACGCGGCCGTGTCAATCAAATCGACCCCGCCTGGCTCTTCTATGATACAGGGGTGCCCCTCTGGTCGACTCCCCCCATGCGATAGACACAAGAGGGCGCGCTAGTTTCTGATTGGCTGAAAAAATCACCAGTTGATTGCCGACCACTGTCAACGTAATAATTTTCCGTCGAAATACGCAAAAATATCATTTCAAACTGCGCCAAAAATGTACAGTAATTAATTCCGGTCAGATTTGGTTAATGTTACAGTGATATGTAAATGCAGAACTCCAATTGTTCGATTATCCATTATGAGCACATTCGGAAAATGTTCAAATGATGAAAATTGAGGAGGGCAGAATTTTTTAAAATGACTCTTTGGGGGGGGGTTACTTTGGGCTCTCGCAAGCCCCGGGGGAGAACAGGAGTGACGTACATAAAAAATCGTCCCTTTTTAATAAAAGATGCCATATGTGTGGGAGCATGGACCCCGGTTTATTAATGCATTTAGATCAAATGCATTGATTGACTCTCTGGAACATGGGAACTATTCCCTTGACGGGGGGGGGGGGTGTTCTACAGCGACGTCGACGCCTTTCACACCTTTGTGAATCCTCAACGAAGGGGACCAAGCATAGCTCTTTTGCTTTTTTGCTGTCGTACCAATTGTTTTAGGGGAGTTACAAGTTAATTCCCGATGAGGGGACTGACCAAGGAGAAAAGTGCCGAAGCACGCGGCATTTTTTGCGCGTTGTCCCACAACAGCTCAAAATCTTTTCTTGCCCGGCGGACCTTTTAGTAGCGTGGGAAGTGCGGATGCACCCCTGCATCACCTAGTTACGGTCCAGGGGACAACATGGCTTTTACAGTTTTTAAAAGTGGACCATGGAATTCTCATGCACTGTGGAATGAATGAGCTTGGGGGGTTATTCTGGGGAAAATCCTACTGGCTCAGCGCCCTGAGGGTGCATTCCACCCAATTGTTAGATTTCTACGCACGAGTTCATCAATATTTTGTGATCTCGCAGTGGTGGTTTTACAAAGACATGTCATAATCAGGAGGGATCATAGATCATTCTGGTTTGGGATCTTTCTTTCACAAAAAGCCCCCGCCAACCTGCGGGCAAATGTTGGATAGAGGCGGGCAGCTACATTCAGAGCTGAGCGAATAGTTTTACAACTATTTTGGGGGTATCTTCGGGGAAAGGCGAATAAAAAATCGTGTGGCTAACCCCTATAAACTTGAAACGAAAAGTGCACTGGTGGCCGTAATCTTGAATTTCCAGTGAAAAAACGGAGGTCAAACTCTTCCCGAGAGTCCACAGGCGGCGCTATTTCAGTCTGATTTTGCACTGTTTTCAGCGGGCGCGTATTTGTGCAGGTTTCAAGGAGTGCAACGGGAACCCAAAGTTACACCACTAAACGTAAATGGCGCCCTCTGTTGTCTGACAGACGATAAATAGCAACAATATGGCGCCTGATAAACAACCCGACGGGAAAGGTATGTGCAGAAGTTCCGAACCTAAAAAGATGAAAAAATCTTCTACAGTTTGGTCCAAAAAGTGTCCGATTGCCGGTTAAATGAAACTTGTGGATATTTTCATATCAGAACTTTCACAGCAGGCTGTAGGCCTATATTGGTACATTGTCCAAACCGAAAGGTTCAGTAACTATTTTTTGCTACTCAGGATTAGGCCTAATAGTACTATAGTAATATACATGTAGTTTGCAGATTTTGACCTTCCACAAAGTATCACTTTAGTTTAAACTTGATGCTAACTTGAGCAAATTCCATCCTGAAAGACGAAAGTATATGTCAAAAACCTGCAAACTCAGCGGTTTGAGTGACACCACTGGGAGGAATGTGAAATCAGGCTCAAAGTGACATCAAGGTTACGTCTATATAGGCCACTTACATGTGGTAACAAAGGATTGTTGTCATACTATTACTGGTACTACAGTAGGCTTTGCCCTTCACACTGTATTATTGGTGTGTCTAAGAATCACAAAAATGGACAAATTTGCTTGGAAGGGATTCGAACCCACAACTTACTGAATACGAGCGTAGACGTCTTAACTACACGACCACTAAGTTTGTCGGTGGACAATTGGGATTAGATGGAACATAAAGCTTGCCCAAATAGGGGCAATTCACAAAAGAGCTCCCGTAAGAGGTCGCCGTGGGGAGACAATCTCCCAAGTTTGCGGATGTGGGTAAAAATTTGGCCAATGCGCCGTGATTTGAAGTTCAAGCGATTGGTGATAGACTTGGCATCATTTCCATGTCTGGCTTTTCCTTATTTTTAACCCCCTGATATTTTGAATTTTTTTTTCGCAGTTATGGGTCATATTTTGCTTCCAAAACATCAAACTGACAGTGGCAGAATGATTTTCAGAGTGGGACGGGGGTTATTTTTGACACCACCAGGCATCAGTCATTGTTAAAAAGGACCTGCTGTATGAATTGGTTTATCCCCAAGTCTGAAAATGGAGGGGCCAGTGGCCTCCCTGCCCCCTCTTCCATTGCCAGTGCATGAAACTGCATCTTTCAACTAATCTCAAAGGTTTTCTTATATGGTGTAATTCAAACTATCTGCTCTGAGCAGGAACAATAGAGGGCGTGCTTTCACAACAGTGATGGCCCTTGAGTGGGAACCATTACCCGTGTGCACAGGTTTATGCGACCGATCATTCTGTTTGAAAGTGCAGTCTTCGCACGAACATGCACGAGCCTGGTCGGAAAACTTCCCATCAACTTGCCTTCTCTGTGCCAGTGAGGGTGCACTTCAACTTGACTCCGATAAAGAGGCCTACAAGTTGTTCTGATTCAGAGCCAAAGCCTGAAACAGAGACAGAACGGAGACAGAGGCGGGTTGGGACAGTCCACCATTGTTAAGTGGTGCCATAATTAAAAAGAAATAAAGTCGTGGCCGATTGAAAATTTTGAATTGCATTTGCGTACCTTCTGTTCTGTACTTGGGAGAGTATGTTACAAAATTTCGCTGAATGTTTCACTGAATCTGGAACAGTACCAGGCACGAAACATGCTAAAGGTGGCCGGTATAGTTACCGTCATGTTTCCTGATGGTGTTACATTTTTTGCCACGCTGTGAGCACTCCACAATCTGTTCTGCGTAACACGTAGGCTGAAACTACAAGCAGATTGAAGACTTGTTTGTTTCACATGGATCTGGATCACGATCAGTTACGGGTACCTCAAAGCTGGTTTACACCATTCATTAGACGGGTTCTGGTGTCAGTGAACCAACATCAGATCTTTGATCATAATCTGAATCCACGCGAAACATCAGGCCCCGAGATGAGAGAGCAATTTCCTTTTTTAACTGAAAATCAATGCCCAGTTTGATGTCAATACTGACGGGTAAATTTGGTTCCATCCATTTTTTTTTTTACAAACAAGAATAAAAACTTGGTAAAAATATGAAGTTCTCTTCTTTTTCTTGGAGGTTCAGCCTGCATGCCTCACAAGCACAGAATGTTCCTGGATATTGAAATGCTTGCAGATGTTTACAATTGTAGTGGAAACACAGCTAACGTGACTGGCCCCGTGTACTGTGTTTTGTGTGACCTGCACTTTGCTTTTCCCTGCCCCAATCATTAAAAGTAAACCTCCTCAACCTGCCCATTCAGGCATGCTTTCCTTCGCTTGACTGACTCCATTCTCAGCGAGCCATTGTACAGGAACCTGTTGTTGGCTGATTTTCTCTTGTTAGTTGGAACCCCCTTAAGCAATGAGATCCCAGCGGTAGACTTGTCCAGGTCCTCCTGGCGTTGTAGCCTAGAACTTGGTTTGGTTCCGTCCATTGTGTGGTACAGTTCACCACAGAAGAGAGAAACTTAGATTGAAGTGTAGTGTAAGACACCTTTTCTTTTTCAGAAGAAAACAAATTGATGCAGCTGCCAAGCATTTTGCTCTGGTGCTGTAAAATCCCCTTGCAACCTTCGTTTCTGGATTGCGCTGTTCAGTAAAAACAAAATCGCTTGGGAAGCATTCTTTCAACTCCAGAAGACTTTGTTTTTAAACCTCTTGATCAGTAAAAGTTATTTTTATTTTCCAGAGAGTTTTTTTCTGAATTTACAATGCCTATTTCAGGGAGTGAAAAAGAACAAATTGGTTAAATATCGTAACTATCAGACCAACTTGCGCAGGCATAGTACTGTTCAGAGTCACTCAGAACTGCCTGCGTTTGCTAGCTACATGTGTTGAGCAAATCAACTTAATAACTGACTTGGTCAAGTCTATGAACCACCTTGGATGTTTTGTCACTGGGCAACGTGTCAGAAAGCCCAGTCATGTATGATCCATATTGTGGGCCAAACTACGTATTTATTGTGGCTATCAACTCTTGCACAATCGTGTTTATGGCGCAGTAGATTAAACTCAACACCGGTAAACCCTTGTGGTCCTGAAATAAACTACCAAAGTTTAACTTGGATTTGGGGGTCGGTATTAACGCCGGAAGTTGATAACATTTTGCACCAGCCACTCATGATTTGGGTTACCTGTCATTTGATAATGGGCATCAATCAAGATAGCATTGTTGTATGACACATTCCTGAGTGTGAAAAGATCTGATTGGAATTGGACAAGTTTAAGCGTGCAGAGCAGCATTTTGGCGAGGGCCTCGGTTGAATTTTGTGTGATTCCTAATTTTTGACAACTCATCGATTTTGGCCCAGGAATCTGGCCAAGTTGCAGATGTGACTGCTTGGGACTCCTTGTTGCTATGGCAACCCTGAAAGTGTCAACTGTAGTTGGAGAGAGTTGGCCATATATTTGGTGTAAATGAAATCAGAAGTTCTGTCGGCAGACCCACATGGAGGTGTCGGTAACATCAATACCACTTGTGTAATCAACAGCATTGTTGAACTGTTTGTATGTGTATGTGAAGTGGCGTTTGGTGGATCGCTGTTCTGTAGCAACAGGAGAAGGGTTCCTCATGCGAGGCAATTTTCACTGGCTTGCCAACGTCGCCCGGGGCTGAGATTATTGACCATTCCTACCACCTGTGGTACATACAATACTCCACAGCGTTTAATCCTAAGCACATCCAAGACAACTTGTTGAATGGATGTGTGTTTTGAAGGTGTTCTAGCAAGTACTATGCATTACTCTCTGCGGTGCTTGACGAGCACGGCTACCTAAACTTCTGTCAACTCTGTAAAAGAAGAATTCCCTTTTGAAACTTCACACTTCTGAAAAATTTGGGGCTGAGCCGAGGAGAAGCAGAACAGGAATCGGCTGGAAATTATTTCTGTTGGAGTATTCCAAGACTGTCAGCCTCCAACTGGGAGATGTGGATCTTTACAGCATGACAAATACACTCTGAGGAGTGTGTGTGGAGATGTTTAAATTAGCGATTAGTTGGGGATGAAAAAGCATGGAGAAGAGGTGCCAGTAAACTTTTGCTGTAATCTTTTTGAGAGTGCTTGATGTGCTTGTCCATGGAGAGCTGGACAAATCTCATCTTTGAAAGCTGCAAGACACCTGTGATGCTGATTATTAAGGGAACTGGTTGGCTTTGTGTCATGCAAATCCTTTAAGACTGGGATTTTTACAAAGAGGCGGTCTTTCAGCAAGAGTGGTGCAAGCCAGAGCGAGATTTGAATCCAGCGGTGGAGACATCTGCCAGCGATTTGGAAAGAAATTGTCTGTTTGAAATGAGTAGTTCCAAAGGAGTAACGTGGTAAAAGTGAGAAGGTGTTTTGTGAGCTCCGTGGCCTTTCAGTCACCTTTCCCTGCTCTTCGAGACTGTCATCAGTTGGGGCTTACCAAGATCATGTGGACTTTAACACTTCAGGATGCATTGTGTTTAGATGCATTGGCTTGATGCCTCTTCCACACCGGACATCATTTGAAACTTTCAACAGGAGCACGTATAGCCAAAAGTCCACTACAAGAATTTGCTGGTTATCTGTGAGCGTACGTTTACAGTAGATTTTTTCAAAGTGTCATCAAGCCTTCGTTGCAAATCCCATCAGAAAAATAAGGAGAAAAAAGGAAATATTTACCCGAAAGTTGATCAGCTCTGATAGCTCAACGAGTCACTTCACTGAAGACTGCAGTTGGCTGTAGCTGAAGTTCCTTCACATGTCTGTGCACGAAATTTCAGTCAGGAGACATTTATTAAAAGGTTCGTCGATTTGGTGGAATATTTCACCCGTGCTTGGTAGGTCTGAGTGTGACTAGGGGTTACGAAGGGCTCGTCATTGCTTGCTTAGTAGCGGACCTGTTACAGTATTGCAAGACTCAATCAGTTGGCACTGCCAACCTAATTTCTCTTCTGCAGAAATCTGGTTTCATTGTGAAAGTTCTAACAAGTCCATGCAATGCATTCATTTGGTGATTTACAATAGTTTTGTCCCAAAATTGTTGTTCTTTAGTCCTGCATGGGTTTTCTGTGTGTTTAGAAACCTTCAAAACCTTGCTGAAGATACGGTATTTAGTCCTTTGCACTGGTTCGAGAAGTTGTTATGAGTTTTGAGGCTGGTATGTAACAAGCTCTGAAGTGCAGATTGTGAAGGCAAAAACTCCAACCCAAAACAAACAAAAGGACAGAAAATCTTCTATACACAATGCGTGCGCTCACTAAACAAAGATGAGGGCTTGATAACAAGATTGACACCGTGTAAAGAATGCAAACGGATTAATTGGAAAATACCACCATGACTTAATAACCATCACACGCCAAACAATCACTGCGTGGGAAGGATTTCGGTGTTCACTCTGGTCATTAATGCTCTGCATTCAAGCAGAACTATTTTGTAAGAAAGAAGAGGACATTTCTGGCGTTCAAGCAATGAGCTTTGGGGATGTGAGGTGACAGGTCTCGCAGCTGAAGAGGAAAGCCAGGTGGCGTGTTGCTAAAGAAGTGTCGGTTGAAGAGCCTCTCTGTGCACGAGAATTGATTGTCGTTGTGAAGTTGTGAAGTCTGCCTTTGTTTCTCTGTCCGGTTGTGGAGGATCATTTGCCTCCTCGTCAATCAGACAATCGTTTTGGCAGATGTTTTAAGTTGGCAATTCGTTAAGCATCTCAGGTGACATCAGTGATGCTAGGTGTATTTTACAGAACCATATCTCCAGCATTCAGGATTGAAGCTTGCCAGTATGCAGTTTTCATCACTTGGAACCGAAAGCCCGCATTTTCTTCAGTTGTCAAGATTTTTCCAACTGTTTTTGCTAGAAGCTCAGAAGAAATTTCCTTTGAGTTAGTAGCTGTGCTTGGCCTCTTCAAACTGTCTTCCTAGAAGATTTTGAAAAAAGAAGATTGGTCAAAGTTACGGCAACCTTCAAACTGTTGTAAGCAGCTGGGTAATATGGCAAGAAGAGAACCGACCAAAAAGACTCATCCCGTACGGAACCAGTCGCAGTCAAAAATCATTCTAAGGGAAAACACGATGACGCTTGGTGAGAAGGTCGCCCTTTACCATCACCGCGCAGATGATTTGGACAATGTACGCGTGGCAGCATTCAGGGAATGGCCTCGCGCTGCCAACAGTAGACATGCTTTTGTAACCGAGGAGGCTCGGGCGGCTGATATGAAAACAGAGGGAGGATTTGGAAGAAAGAAATCAAATGCCAAGGGAGAGAGATTTATCCCCACTGGACGGCGATCAGCGAGCAATATGAGTTTGGCTGTGTGTGTGTCTGTGACAGGTACGTCGTTTTGATAAAGTTTTGCCACTCAACCTTTAAAACTTTAAATGTGCAAATGTTTGAAATCATTTTTTTTGTAAACAGTCTGTAATTTCTGCCCTGTTGGCTCTCAAAGTGGAAGAGAGCTTGCTGTCTAAGAAATGTAGGCAATATCTGTACTATCCTAGTTTAAAAACTGCAGTTTTGAGATGCAGAAATTCAACGTAAGGATAAATAATGATTAATTCCCTTAGGAAAATCGGACTGCTGTGACTGCTGAGTTTGTGGAAACTTCTCTTGGGTCTTTATTGAAGCAGAATCTTAGGACTATTTTTTCATGGATTTTGTTTGACTAGATTAAAAATCTGCCCAGGAAAACTGAGATTTTATCAGGTTGTATACAGTTATCAGTCTCAAAGATGCACGAATGAGTCGTCACTGTGTACCTTTTCAACATCTTAATCACATCACTCTAGTCATCTTGGTGAATGTCCGTAAATAGTAAGTTGCATCAAATAGAGGTAAAAAAAATAGAGAGGTAAAAAGAGATAAAGAAGCAAACAAACTCAGAAGTTTGAAACAGAAATTCTGAAGTTTAGATTTGGATAACCTTTGAGTGTTGACATGATTTGTACTTTTATAAAATGACTTCACCTTTACTTATGTTGTGATTCTGTTTTTGGTAGAAATTTGATAAGCTTGTTTCAAAATCGCTCTTTTCCCTATTGTGAATGCAGGCACAAAATCAATACGTGGAGTTCCACAACTCAATACAAAGTATTGTAACTGATTAGAAATCTCACACAGAAGACACTCCCCGCGCTAGAAATGACATGTAGGTCATAACAGGTCCTCACAAGTCAATCATAGGCCAGATTTTCTCAAGTCACAGACCGTTCAACTGAATTGAGACAAACAAGCTTCCAGGACGCTCGTGTGGCATTTTTTTCATTCGTCTCCTGATCACAGTTATTGAATTCCCCCTCTGCATTGCACTTTAGGTCAGCCTGCACCCCCAACGATCGATCCGCAGGTGTGGCCCGCATATCCCACGCTGCTCGGAAACTGCAAAGTTTTCTGCACAAGAAAAACCTTTAATGCCACACCGAGTTAACAATTTGTCCATCAATTTTCCATCAGTCACAAAAGAGCGTTTCCCACAGCCAACCTGTGTTGACATTGCATGTTAGCAACACCTTCAGACTCCTTTATAAACGGGAACAATCATCTTGATATGGTTGATGGACTTGTTGACTGGGCTGGTCTTGACAAAGAATGACTCTGTATCCACAATCTGGAGAGATAAATGGTTGAACATTGATTTTTATTCAATTTCTCTTCAAGCAATAGTTAAACTATAAACTTGAGGAGTTTAGTAAAGAAATGAATGTATAGTTTTCATCCACATGTAGTGACGGCTTGTGTGTTGGATCTAAGTATCAAGCCACTGAAAGCAGCAAAGAAATGTTTTTTAAAATGTTAAGAGGGAAAGGTAATTGTTTGGTAACGTGCTTCATAGTGACATGTAAAAATACCCAAATTTAGCCTTGGCCCTTGGAAAGGCTAAAGAGGTTACATAAAGAAATTCTCGGTTTTTATTTTTTTGAAATTTAGGTCTGCATATGACCTGGCGTCCCTGGTGGACATTGTGACTAAATCCCACAATATGCATCTGGAGCTCATTTTCAATTCCTTTTCTGGGCAAGAATTATTGCTTAATATGCCATTCTCTTCAACATGCATTATGTTTATACAGGTATATCACCCAGGTACACGGGTGAAAAAACTTTCCTGTGTGTTTTCCAAGTGTAAGATTTGTCTGTAGACCTGTAACATGACGTTTGGCAACTCATGACTGACTGAGTCATTTGATGGTTGACAAAATTTTGGAAAAGATGAAAGGCCAGAAAAGGCTTGAAATTCTAAAGTCGTGGAGAGGTGTGAATCGCAAAGACTTTGGAGATGTTTGACAGGAACTTTGGTATGAACACATTGCAAATTTGGGAGACTTTGGATGAAAAGTTGGTGTGTCACGGCAGATTTTCGGGAAGTATTTTCACAAAAAGGAAAGAACAAAGCAGCCAAGCACTCCAGGTGATATTTTTGAGGCCTGTGAAATCAATCACGTCAGCAATGAACAGTCTTTTTCTCATTCAAGATTCCACCCACGAGCTGATGGAGGCAGCGGAGAAGGGCGATGCGTCAGTCGTCCGCCGTGTCTTGAAGGAGAGCTCGGCCGACATGAACTTTGGCCACTCGGGCGACTACAGAACGGCTCTCCTCCGGGCGTGCCAGTATGGGCAGGTGGACGTCGTTAAGGAATTGCTAGAGGTTGGCACTGTTACATGTACATGTATTTACTTTTTTCCTAATAGACTGGTTATTATCCAAACAGTTTTAAAAATACTGAGACTTTTGATGAAATTAACTTCTGTATGGAAAATGGATGAATCCGTTACCCGATGACTTAAATAGGCAAGTGTAATATGTGAAGCCATTGCCTAGAAGCTTGCACATCATCTTGCTGAAATTTTCAAAATTCTTAACAGGCTGGTGCTGACACGAGTATCAGGACGGTCAAGAACCGGACTCTCCTGCACGAGGCCTGCGTTGGCGGCCACCCGAAGGTCTTGGAGCTGCTCCTGGATCGGTTTGACGACATTGATGCCGTGGACGCAGAGGGCCAGAGCGCGTGCCACGTCGCAGGGTTCCAGGGAGAGCTGGAGTGCTTGCAGGTGCTGGCCGAGAAAGGTAGCCATGTTGGATTGAGCATTCAGGCAGGAAACATTCCTGCATTTCAATCAGGATTGAGTACTTCTTGTGCAAAGGTCTAAAATAATTCCGTTCTGCTTGGTAAAACAAGTCAATGATGCTTTTGAAACTAATTCATGCACATGTTATGAAATGCACCCAGCGAACTTTCAGCAGAATGAGCACAACCATGATGCATCTTTGCCTAATAATGTGGCATTCACTTCAGCATTGACATTAATACCCTTCAACAAGTGTCTTATTAATTCAGCGCTTAGATCACACGGGTCATGATGCTTGCAGCCTCCGTTGGGAGTGACTCTCTGAAGTCTAATTATCATATTCTAATTGCTTCACCTTTCTCAAGAAGTCTCAACAAAATGGAAATGTTGGCCATCTCACTCTGTGTAGTGTTTATATAAGACTTGGTTAGTGTCTGAATTAATGGCTATGGCTTGTAAGAGTACATTCTATGAGAAATAGCTGCAGCTGCTAGACAGTGGATTTAATAGGTACGTGTGTAGCTTCTAGCCGTAGCCTTAAATTTAGACACAGCCTGAAAGATGACAATCCAGGCTTATAATTATATTACATTCCGGTAGATCAGGTGCCTCAAATCTTCACCACTTTTCCTTCATATTCAAATGTTTGAAATGTTTAATAAATATTCAAATTATGTAAATTATGGTACAGGTGCTGACACCTCACTGGAGGACAAGAATCTGAAAAGCCCCGCCCACCTGGCAGCAGAGAGGAACCACCCTCGTATCCTGAGCTATCTGCTCAGCAAAGGCGTGGACATTGAGACATCGGACCGACTGGGGCGAAGACCCACCCACTATGCAGCCATCCACGGGGGTAGGCTTCAATATACCTCCTACAATGACATTCCAGATAACGTACTTTGAAAGGCCTGGCAAAGCAAACATGATTGTGATTTTGTTACATTCGATCCAATATTTGCGCTGCAAATTGGCAAAAGCCATGCACTTTTCAGCTCAATTTGGCTGCGAATGACGTCTTGAGGTCAGTTTGCTTTGCTTTCGGAATGAATCAGCTTTTCAAATCAGCCAGATTTTGTGCATGCGTTTTCCCCTCCGTCTCTAGGCCTGGAGAGCCTGATCCTCTTCGTCCAGGGCAACTGCGACACTCTGGCCACGGACAACGCAGGCTGCATCCCCGCCCACTTTGCGGCCAAGAAGGACCACCTAGACTGCCTGCGGTTCCTGGTCAAGCATGGCACGGACCTGGCCGCGAGGGATGGGTCGGGCAGGACGCTGGCTCACATGGTATGCATTTTATCTGAATCATCTCGCTGGTAATTTTTTGTATCCACCTTGAGCAGAAAGACCCCCACATCTGTTGAAGGGAGAGATGTTGATAGCGGGGCATGCACTTCACAGTTGTTCCTGAACCAGCGAAGTGCAGTCCTACCAAAGGAGCCTGTTTTGCGAGGAAAACTGTGCCCTCTCTTGGTCCAGCTCAGAGCTCATTGGCACCTTTAAATTCCTCAATGCCGCTCAAAGATAACCCCACCCACATCACACTTTTGTCATAACAAAACCAAGCCACGTTTTAAGCAGATTTCTTCTTCATCTTTTTAGGCAGCTCAGTCTGGTGCGATGACATGTCTTCATTGGCTGTTTGAAAAAGGAGCCGATGCCTTGGCCAAAGACAGTAAGCATCTTGAATTAATTTAAGTATTAAATTAATTTCTTGGCAATGGAAGCTTTTTTCACATTGTTTAATTCCATTATTCTGACTGACAATAAACTAATAAACATTACTGGGCTGTATATAATAGGTTTTTTGCCCCAACCCAACATATATATTAATAAGCACTGCATACTCAGTGCTTGTCCGAGAGCTTGCGAAAAAATTCACAAGCTTACTCGGGTGGGACTCGAACCCACAACCTCTTGCTTACTAGTGCAGACGTCTTAACTACCCGACCACTCAAGTAGTTTAAATGCATCAAAAGAAAGGTATGGAACCTCTTCAAAGTCAGACGGTTCCTTTGAGCACAAGGTCATTAAGAGAAATCTGCTCTTCAGGCTGTTATGCCACTGACTAATTCAGCCTTGGAGTGGGTAACAGTTCATTGTTCCAACAGCACATGCCCAACATGAAGCGTGTCCGAGGTTATTCGGACGTGCGTGCCAGGTCTGCTCTATCATCGCACGCCCTTTGCAGACTCGTGCACGTGCTTTGTTCCCGAATAACCTTGCTTACTCAAAGTACCAAACTGGCTTAGCAAAGACTCGGAACAGAGTGAGATGGCAGGTGCATTGGTAGGAGAACACTCGTTTATTGAAATATTGTTGTCATCTCAGCATTGAATGCACAGAGCACTGCAGGGTAGCAGATAATTTGGTTTATATGAATATGTAAATATGTTAATGTGCATATTGACAATGATTTATGCACAGCCCAAGGGAACACCCCCGCCCATCTGGCTGCGAGTGGGGGTCACGCCAAGTGCTTCAACTGCTGCCTGCAACACAATGGGTCCCTGGATGCCATCAATGACCGGCAAGACACGCCCATGGACTGCGCCCGTCGGGCGGGGCACCCGCAGCTCATGAGCAAAGCTGGTGGGCACGAAATTGAACATTAAGTGCGAAAAAACCTTGCTCAATAAACAAAGGTTACCAGCTTAAACTCTATGTGATTGTCATGCTGACCAAAAGACAGTTGAATACCATTCCAAAACAACATACATCACGTGGAGTTTTGGCTGGTAACCTGATTTGTCGACAAAGTTTTTCCACACTAAAGTAAATTACATGTTTAAGCAGCCCTATAAAATTGGCCCCAGGTCTGAAAAATAGAATAGCTTGCATGGTTTTTGCATTGCATGACTGTTAATAGTGTTGGCCGTGGAAACGTAACCGTAACGTTGAAATATCTATCAATCCGAAAAACCAATATTGTTGATATTTTTTCTTGGGTTTAAAAGTTTTCTCATAATTTCTGGCAAATATTTGGGACAAAGTTGATAACCCAAAACACTCACAGCATAACTTGCTTAAATAATGTTTCCAACTAATGTGGACTTTTGGCCAAATATCCCACGTTGGCATTTGCGTTAGCGCTTGTTGTGCTGAGCACATATCATCCTTCAGTGTGCCGTTTGCTTTCAATGCGCAGGAAACAACGAGGTGCGATGTGTGCACTGTGCAGACAACTACGAGCTAGTGGAATGGGAACGCGGCCACCAGCCCTCCAAAGTACAGAAAGCCATCAACGAAAAGAAAGGAGACATGTTCACCTCTCCCCTGCCCCGAAAACCGTAAGTTCCAGGGAAGACGTACCAAACAACGTAGCAATTGCATTTCTATCTGCTCTGAGCGTGAACAAGAGAGGGCATGATACTTATCCTCAAGTCCTTTGGCCTCAGGACATATAACTCTCGTTTGGTCCCTCCCAGTTTCTCAGGGCGCATAGACATGCACTAGTGACCTCACTGCCGGTCCATAGGTGTACTATTACATGTATATAGACAGTATGTATATTGTATGTGCATACACTAGTTGACAATTAGTGGGCTTTTTGGCTTAACTTACCTGTTTTGGGCTTTCAGAACAACAGCTGCCTTTGTATTCAAACTTTATTCAAAAGCTTACATGTAGATCTAAATCGAGCTCTAGACTAGATGTGGGCGTGGTGTCACATCTCACCTGGCTAAGGATCCGTTTACCACTTTTTGGCGTATTCCAGGAAAGCTCAAGAAGTGCAGAGGCCGAGAGATGCCAGGGCAAAAGTCACAGGTCAGGGGTCATCATCATCTTCCACAGAGGCGCTGCCCAAGAGAGATTTGGCCGCACGGTACTTTGGACGGGAAGACCACAAATGACTTTTTTAACGGGGATCCCTTGGCCGTGGGCGACGGAACACAGCAAGGAGAAAGTGTGACATGGTCCCGGACCATCCACTCTACATCGTGCCACTAACGTTCACAACTGCGTTGTGTTGGAGACCACTTTGTGATCTACACAAGACCTCTGGTCTGAATTCAAGGCGCAAGCCATTCAACCAATCTCCAACAAAAGCATTCCTTAGTCGCTGTTGGACCTACGACTGGTCCTGTGCATCGTCTCGACTACAGCAGTTTTGTAATAAAAAAATGAGTAACTTTTGTGGATATTCATAATGTAAATACTGTATATAAAATGAGATTCCTCAGAATGAGTTTGTGCCTATAGAATACCAAAGTAATAAATGTCACTCACAGTGAAAGTCAACCAAGAATGGCAGTCGTTAATTCACTTCTGTTTTAATTCAACAAATTTGATATCTGAAACACTTTGGTGTCCCAACTGAGAAATGAAAGTTACAGGAGAAGAGATTTTCAAATAAGTCTGGTACATGAAGGTACAAAATCTACTCTTTTTAAACTGGAGAGGCCAAATTTTCTGTCCTTTGGTAACAAATTATGTTTATTTGTTGAAAGATTAAGAAACATCACGGTTTTAAAAAGCAATACATCACCATTCGTGCTTTCAAACGCAACGTTGGCGAGGGTTACATCTCGGATAACTTGAAATAACTAAGACGGCTCCGGATAACTCAAACATGAGATGTTTAATAGGTGGTAACTTACTCACGGTGGACTCAAAGTGATGCTGATTCTTGTCAATATTAAACTTGAGTTACTGACAATCAAATACATGCTCCGCCCATCCATCCATAACCCCATCCCTATGCTCCGCCCACCCATCTCTGCGCACATCACATGACTGTATGTACATATAAATCTTGTGGATGGTTTCAGAGCTTTATGGTCTGTGACTATGGATATCCACTGAAGCGTTCTAATGACATAGCCATAGCCGCAGCCAAAAATGACCACTTTACGCACAGCCTGGGCCCAGTATCATGGCCTTGCTCAGCACACAAATATACTGGATGTTTGTGCTTCGCAACAAACCACTCAAAAAGGAAAGGTCCAGAGGCGTGAAGCTGCTAAGCATCTAAAAGTGTCAGCCTATCACAGCAATTTTTTGGGCTTAACAAAAGGCAAAAACAGGCCACCAGCTAAAATGCTGTGCAAATAATTTGACAACATCCCTGGTTCCCAGCTGCTCTTTATTCAGTAAATAAATCCCCAAGTGTTTTATCTCACGCCACCCAAGATGTGCTTTGGTTCAGAAATACCCGCTAAGCATTCTGCGTAGCTGATGGCTAGTTCCTGCTAAATGTATTTCTGTGGTAAGCAGAATCGTATGCTGGGCAGCCTCACGACGGGGACACATTGCTCTCTTATTTACAGTCGACAAGTTTTATTTGAGCCGCTGCACGATGACGGCGTTGAGTAGCTTGCCGTCGGCGAGCGTCTGTGAGTCTTCAGTCAGCTCTTTGTTGGGGAAGGTGGTCATCAGAGCAAAAAGCTGACCGGCGTAGACCGGCCGAGCTCTGAGTTTGCGGAAGTCAAGGTAAATCCAACAGCTTTACAGATGGCAGAAATATTAAGTAAAAGGCAGTGTTGCATTCGAGTCCATCACAAGGCCAGTCACAAGTCCCTTCACATGGCCAGCCACAAGTCCCTTCACAAGGCCAGCCACAAGTCCCTTCACAAGGTCAGTCATAACTAACAGGGTGAACATTGACAAGAGAATGCTTTTGTCACAGCTCATTTGAATAGCTGGTGCATAGGCTTAAGACTGAATGACTTATGACAGTCTTGTGAGGGTCTCGAATACAACACTGGTTGCAAGCCGAAGAAATATAAGTAAAAAGATTGCGGCAGCACCATGCGAGGACATCTCTTCTGTAAGTGTGGTTCTCAAATGAAGCTTCAAATCTCATCAGAAATGCTAACCCTGGCTTTCGCAGATCCTTCTCACCGTAAACCCCCTTAACGCCGGCAGACCTTTACAACCGTGGCTTTGCGTGGGGATTAGTGCTTACCACACATAAATTCTTTTCATCATGCACCTGCAGTTTCAATGTGGGCCTGCTGCTGGACAGGGCTTTGCATAGTGGGCACACCGCAGCCCAGCAGTCGCGGTCAAAAGAATCCCGGCGTTAAGGGGTTAAAGGTGAACACTACAAAGGATTTAGACCGCGTCACAAGACGTGGTTGATTACGAGAGGTGTGTTGTGTTGAGGTCTTAGGCCAGAGCCTGTGTTTGTTACACTCACCAGTGCATACCTTTGAGCTGAGATAATACCTTAAAATCATAAGCGCTGCTCTCGAGTATCATTCACGCTGACAGTCCTCAATCCTTCAATTTCAATTATAATTTTACATACACCCTCGGGGGGCGGGGTTTAGGGTTAATCAAAAGGAACTGCTGGAGGCTTGGGACCGAGGATTCAGGCAGAGGTCCTCTCTAACATCTGTGATAAGGCTTTAACTGTCATAGCGCCCTCTGTTGTTAGAATGTAGGGAGCTGTGTGGTGTTTTCCGAAATGGCCACCGTCTGCTATGACGCGTAAGAATTTAACAGAAGCTCCCAATTTAGTGTGTTTTGGCCTGTTTATAACATCGTCCTCCGAGAAATAATGGCAGACTGGGGAGTAAAACTGGGTCAAATTATGACTTGGGGGCACTTGGAGGCTCGAGGTTCCATCCTAGAAAAAAATGCCTGGGATTACAGCGCGCCGAAGTCTGCATGACAACTATTGCGACTCAACAGGAATCAGCGACAAGAAAACTGGCTCTTGAAGGGACGAACACTCGGCATTTTTGACATGCTCGCAGCAACGTCTGATCTTCTCTATTTTGACGACGATTCTGGGCTGGAGTTTTGAAAAAGGATACGTTGTGATGTATCTCCTGACGTCGGCGACTGTGTGGGAGTGGTTGAACTTTCTGACTAACCTGAGTTTGAAAAGAAGAAAGAGTCTGAGAAATAAAGTACCAGGTGTAGTGTACAGTTGTTCCAAGTTACATAAATGCATTTTGTTGGACAGGAACCAAGTCACTGGCTCTTCATGTTTGCCGTTACCAATTAAAAACAAAAGCCGGAAAGTCTTCACAGGCGTGAAACTTTCTGACTTCATTGTCCCACAACAACAAAATTAAAGCAGAGTTTTCTTAAAGAGGTTTTTTTTGGAGCATCAAACAGGTAACTAACAAAAGGTCAACTAACAAATTTGATGCTCTGAAAATAAGAGTGTTCCATTAAGATTTCTACAAGATTTTAACTGCAAATAACCTTGTGCCGTCCGCAAGCCGGATTTGAATACTGGTGACCGGCTGCGACTCGTCCAGGCTGACTGACTGATTGGCCGAAGCCTCGTCCTGTTTTGCAGCTGAAGCTGAGGCGGGCGTAGAAACGACTGTAGGAACGGGGCTGTTGGAAAGAAGGATGCAATGTGGTAACTACGTTGTACAGGACAGACACTGCTGTCAATGGCTATGTCTATTCACTATGACATACACCAGTGTTGTAGTCGAGTAGCTTTCTACGAGTGTGAGCCCTTTCCCATGAGTGTGAGTACTTTTCCCACAAGTAAGAGTACTTTCCCATGAATTTGAGTACTTTTACCATAAGTATGAGTACTTTTACCATGAGTGTGAGTACTTTTACCATGAGTGTGAGTACTTTCCCATGAGTATGAGTACTTTTACCACGAGTGTGAGTACTTTCCCATGAGCATGAGTACTTTTACCACGAGGGGTAGTACTTTCCCATGAGTATGAGTACTTTTACCATGAGTATGAGTACTTTCCCCATAAGTATGATTACATTTTCATGAGTATGAGTACTTTCCCCATGAGTATGAGTACTTTTCCCATGAGTATGAGTACTTTTCCCACGAGTATGAATACTTTTCCACTTTTTTCTGTGAGTATGGGTACTTTTCCATGAGCATGAGTACTTTGGTACAAAGTATGAGTAGATTTTCATGAGTAAGAGTTCAAGTGCAGAAAGAGTACTCGGGTACGACATGTGGTACACTACAAGCCGTAGCCACAATATTCCCTGTTCAGGCATGGCATATTATTCTTTGTTCTTATGCTGGAGTGATGCTTAAGTGTAGCCCATATAATAGACTACCAGGTTGTTTCTGGATGTTGCGGCTGAGGCTGTCAGTACAATGTGTATATGGGAAGAGATTGCCGTCGGTATAAGAAAAAGCCAAGACTAATTAGCCGTGTCTGAATTGGCCTTATCGTGGCTACGGCTTCCACGGGTCCCTGTGTTACTTTGAGCCACAGCTGAAAGCTACTAGACAGAGCTGAAAGCTACTAGACAGTACTCAATTCAGGCTCATCCAACCTAGCACATGTCCCAATCACTTGGCTGCGGCTATCAACAACACACAAGTCAATGGATAACAGCTGCAGCCGCTTCCACAGCCATGTGTCTCTTTCTCAGTCATAGCCATTCTGACGAGACATTCTGAAGTACAACCTGCTAAGGCCTCTATCATTAGTCACCTGCCCAGCATGCTGCCTTGACCACTGAAGGGCTTGACCTTGACCTTTGGCCTAGTGTACTCCTCGTCCCGATGGTCCTCCAGGTCAAGATTCACCTCGCCTCCCTTGGCCTCCCGGATCAGCTCCATTGGAATTTGCCTAGAAGAAGATTGGGAACAAGACGGTTCCTCACACTGTAGAACACTGAAATTCCATGACTTTCAAAACGGGGATTCAATCAATGCCTGATTCCGTGGGTTTTACCCTGAATATGCTTCTGGGGTTTTCCTCCCACCTCTAAAACTGTAACTGCTTCTCATTGTCTCCTCTCTACAGGTTTCTTCAGGCTTTCAGGCCACAGTGCCTAGGGCAGTTTTGACAAATCCTTGGTTTCATTACCAGAAAGACTTACATAAATATTATTTTAAAAATCAGCATACAAGAGTCTGAGGACTGATAAAAATGGAATTACAATGAAAGGTCATGAAAATCCTGAAAGCAAATTGTACGGAAAGTAAAAAAATGGACAGGTTTTAGTCATTTCAGAAGTAAGCTAATTAAAAAGATAAAAAAAACAATTATCTATGAAGTGAACAGTACAATTATCAATGTAGATAAAATTTAATTAATCTGTATTTTATCATTACATGCTCAATTTGAGTTAAAATTATTAAATTAAATTTATTAAATTAATATGTAACGTTTATAACTGTCATTATATCAGATGGCAGAATCAAGAAGCACAGTGTAGTCGACAGGACACAGTTCCAAATATGTTATTCTGTGAACACCCCGATCATAGCATCAGTCCAAACTTCTGGGCTTGAGAGACTCACCCCTTTGAGATGGCGTTGAGGAAGTCGGCATTCTGTGGGTCTTTGAAGCCTCTCAGCTCCCCGTCGTCCACGCTGAACCCGTTCCTCCACAGCTTGAGAATAATGTTCCTCTGCAGGATGTACAAAATGACAAGCCTGCTTCAATGTTTGGACGTTTTCCCAAAAAAAATTGTTCCCAAATCCTGAACTTTCGTCCCCCGATCGGCTGACATCCCCTTGACCTTCCCCCAAACCTTTGAAAAGTACTGACCCCTCTTGGTTCCTTCCCGGGGAGCGTCCCCACCGTGCCCGGCTCCGGTCTTGCGGGTCCTGACTCCGAATCCCCCAGGCGGTAACCAGCCCCTTTGAAGATGAAACTGCTTGGGGTACCCTCTGATGTGCTGGACGACCCGGCGCCGACCTCCTGCGCTCCATGCCTTAGAAATGCCAAGCAAGGATTGTGAGCAAATACACTCAAACTAGAGAAAACACTTTTATGAGAACTTTAAAGGAACCAGGGAATAGAAACATTTTCATAAATTTTACTAAGAACCCTTGAAAGTGCATCTTTGGGTTTCCATTAACCTCATTTTAAATTTTTGTTTTGCAATTTTAACCCCTATTTTGATGGTTTTCTTTGTTTTTATGCTAATACACATTTGCAGATTCATGAGCAGAACTAGATGTCATCCAAGGCACCGAATCTCAATGTTGCACTGATTTGTGCACTGAAAATTTCAAGATTTTTTTAACCACTGCTACGGCAGATTTCATTTTCTTTGGCAATTTGTTGCTGTGTAAGTATAAGTCAATAATCCAGCAAACATCCTTTTCACAGAAATGCTCCCAGATAGCAAATTTGGGGTTCACAATTTGAACATGAAAACATGCAACCTGAACCATGTCTTCCTGGATTTACATCAAAGCAAAAGCGCCCTCACTTGTCCGGAAATGCTTGGTCAATTTTTAATGTTCAAAAAAGTGCACCGTTCAGTTCACATAATTCAAAAAAGATGTCAAACAGACTTCATACATGGAAAAAGAGTACAGAGATACACAGAAAGTGATTCTAAGAAAACTTCATTTCCTGGTTCCTTTAAAAGTGATATCTGGAAAAACAGCTTGATTTTTTTGTAAGCTTGCCTAGCTCATAAGAAGTGCCTCAGAATTCTTAAGCGAACGACCACCGAAGATCAAAATTTTTGAAATAAATAGATGCACAGGAATGTCCATGTCATATCTTGTCATTTTACGAAGATTTGTGTTTTGCGCCAGAAATGACAATGTGCACAGAACAAATTTGTTGTGGACTAGTATTGAGCAGACTGATAAATTTATATTTTTGCTGGAATTCATTTGAGTAGCTTGTGACTTAAAGTCAGACTGGTGATTTTGAGTTGGAGTCGGGATGGTCTTTGGTCTCCTTCTGTAACCTGTGAAGTACTTGGCAGGGAACCTGCCGTGAGCAGCACACATCGCGCAAAAGGTTTAGCTGGTCACCAACATTGTTAAGCCAACAGGTCTGAAGCGTAGCAAGTCCACCTGCACTTCACATTTTGAACTTACTCGCGGGCGCTCTTGAAGAGATCGTTGATCATGCTGTCTGTGTTGCTCTTCTTTTTCCGCGGACCAACCACCTGCTGTCCGCTGAGTGAGGAAGGAAAAAAACGGGGCTTACTGATGGAGTTGAGACAAGTACATGGAACAGATGTGGATATGACGGTTGAAGCGGGGGAGTAGAATACCCAACAAAACAAAACACGGCCATCTGCATGTCCATTGAATAATCTGTACTCCAAACATCATGCACCAGAAATGACATGAGACAGCGGCAATGGATTTAAGTGCACATTCTGACGAAATTCTACCTGAGAACTTTTGAAGAAAGACACAAAAATCTGTTTTTATCATTTGCCGTGGTTTGGTTCTTAATAATCCTAAAGCTCTCCTCACAAAAACCTTTCCTGGTCTTTGTATGAAACGGTACTTGGTGATTTGCGTCAGCGGTTGCCAGTTACACGATTTGAGCAGTTTCCTAACGTTGGTTGGGACTTGGTTGCGATACACAGCCCTAATGCGGCACCTCGGCACCTGATGAAAAATGCCTGGTGTGTGGCTCCATCTTGTCAGTTTTATCACCCAAACTTTCTTTGCGATGTATGTTGCCTCACATTTCCGAAAATGGAGCTCAATTTTAACCCTAACACTCCTCAGTCCTCCAACAGGTGAAGGATTGAGGAGTGTTAGGGTTAATGAAGGCTTGAAAAGCCAAAGCGCAGCAGCGACATGAAAAAGAGCAACGTTAGCTTACTCGCTGCAAGTCAAGCTTCAGCATGACTGAACTAAACAACTTCTGACTTCGGGCTGGACCAGAAGCTAAATACGGGGGTAAAATGACCAACCGAATGAGGGGCCAAAACATACCTGCCGTGGTCAGCACCCCCTGCATAGAACGCCTGCCCCTCCTCATCGCTGTCACTGTCCGCCCCCGTGTCCCTGGCAAAATCACTGACAGTGTGGAAGCGGGAGGACGGTGCGGGCGGGCGGTTCCTCCCGGTACCCCGCACAGCCAGTGGCGCCCCTTCTGTCTCCGGCTCATCTGCGGAGAGGTCCACCACCTCGGGTTGACGAAGGTTCGAGGGGCGGAACTCATCCGAGGCCTCATGGAACAAAACGTCATCATCGGCGCCGTCGTTCCCACCATCGTTGTCGTAGAAACTGCCCAAAGCGATCTACAAGACAAAGGGTCACAGGGAGGAAGGGGGGAGGAGTAAATCACTCATATCTTAAGTGCCGACACTTGGCAGGCCTTGAAGGAGTGAAATGGGAGGGGGGGTGCTGATTCAGCAAAGGTTTGTTTCTGACTACCACATACTCACAGGGTTCACCAGCAAACATTACGGGAATGTTTGTTTCATACAGGTCTGGATCTCGATCAGTGATCCCGACGCTGGTTCGCACTATCAATTTGATGTCTGTAAATGAATGATGGATCACTGATCCAGTTTTTTGTCATTTCAATTTTGTAAAACTGGTCAGTCTCCCGCAAAATGAAAGGCAAAGCTCTCCTTAATGTGCTGACACTAGTTCTTGGAAATTTCGAAGTATGAAATGAGAAATAGGCCTATGGCTTTCTAACTGATAAAACAGCCAGGCAAATTTGATATCCACCATGTAGCCTACTGTCCGTTAAAACACCGACACAGTTTCCCCCTCATAATTTCTTTAAAAACTCAGAAAGGTTTCCTCTTTTCATAATATCAATCCTAAGGCTTCAGACTGGTTATAGGCCTATTGAACATGATGTCACTGTCATCTAGCCTACGAACATGACCAAGGTGAATTCTAAAGTTAAAATGTGGTCGGTGTACGGGTTGCCATGAGTACGAGTTGACCTGTTCCCAGTTGATCAAGCAATTTTGAAATGAGTCTATCGACTGATTGCACCCAACAACGACGATATGGAGGTACCTTACACGTCGAAAAAAGGTGCCCAATGATAGTTTCAATGCAAAATCTTCATAACCCCGTGCAGAATGCAGTGCGCCATACATGCCCAACCAATTGTATGACACTCATGTAAAATCTGGATGTTATAACGTTTTGCTAAATCCCAGACCACTACCTGAAGTTGCCATCCAGATGATTCGAGATAAAACTTTGCTCTGTCGGCATCTACCCCAGTTACACCAGCGAAATCGGCAATTAATCCCGCTTTTTGTGCTTCGTCTGCCATGATGATTTAGCTGAATAGACATTTGTTACCGCTTGGTGGCGGTATTACAATAAACACCGCGCAAGCTACTATCGCTCGGGGTGCACCACTACAAATAAATTCCCATAGACTGCAATGATATATCCCCACACTTTGCAATAATTTTAAAAATACCCACAACTCTCACAGGTGTCCAGGCTGCACAGAAATACGATGATCGACATGTCCCCTTTCATTTTCCTTTCAATTTTCGGGGGGTTGACTGATGAATTTTTGACAAATTTTCACCAGAAGCAGACCACCCCTAAAATGAAGAAAATGTCCCTGCCCAGAAAAGTTGCCATTTTGAAAAACCATGCCTCTGCAAAACGGCCAAATAGTGCCATTTTCGGACCCAACTGCACCCAAATTACTCAGAGTTTGAAGCCCAGAATTTCTCCAATTCCTCAATTTCATGGCTCTCAGGACTCTCTAATATAGAATATTTTGAGACTATAACTTTTATTAATGAGCTCGCCGGACATATTTACGGCCTAATTACCAGGGTGCACCCCTCGCGCGCTGCAATCGATCTTGTGGCCGGGGGGGGGTACCCATTGATGGCTGAGTTCGGGTGGCTGCGCTTGTTCATGAACCGCTCGATTTGTGTTCGTAAGTCGGCCGCTCGAACACCGGGAACGTACAACCGGTTATTGTTTGCATGCATCATGGCGGCATCCATTTACGTTCTTTCAGAGTAAACTTCGGAATGCTGGCCTGAATTCTTTTCTATTTAAAAAGGAACATTTATTTCTTTGCTATGGAAAATGATTATTGTTAATTTTTTAAAATTTCCCATTGCCTCTGGCTTTTTGAGCTATCTCGATATTTTTTGGCGGCTATTCAAAAATCAAAATCTCACGAGTTTTTCCGTGTGTTCCTGTAAAACCCTGACGAGGAGGTGGTGCGTGATCCTGTTCCGTGAACAGTGTCTTGAGTCGTGTTCCCGCCTCAACACGACCATAGATGGGTGCACTGAATTCAAGCTCCATTGAAAAT